ATAAAATAACATTTGTGATGTTATCAATAATATAACTCAACATATTCAGAGGTACACTTATCATATAAATGTTAATTGTACACGTTTAATTCATTACTGTTATAGGGTAGTCCATGTAGTGAGTCAAGAATTCTATAGTGTTTCTATTATGTCGTAATTGTGTGCATTGAATACTCTCTTGTTTATACGACTCTTACCTAATGGTTACAATTAATATCCCGATTGCAATAGCCACATGTTGAGAAGACGACGGTGGTTGTGGCGGTAACAGTAAGTACGTTGCACAGACTTGCATATTTACTAATACGTTGTACCTTGAAGAAATAAAGTTTAAGTACTAAAATTTATTTATTAATTTTTTTCATATTTATGATATTTAATGATATGATTATGTAACATCCAACTTACTAAAAGCCCATCTAAGTTGCTAAGCATGTCTAATTAAATTAGTATAGCATTTTATGGATTAGTACTTACTTAAGTTAGAATGGAATATGGACTTCTGGATCGAGTTAGAGACTGAACTTTTATAATTAAGCCTATTATATGTCAGTTATGAGATCTGGAAAGTTTCGTGCGAAACGGAGTTGAAACGACCAAGTTACACATGAGAGACTAAAACTGTCAACTATGGCAAACTAGGTTGACTTGTTGACCAAATTAGTACAAAAACGAGATTTTGATCCTTTAATGGTATTTTTCACTCCAGATCATTCACACACACTGGAAGGTGCGATTTACATACACTTAAGGCTAATCCTTCAATCCTTAATGATCCATGTTAGATTCTTGAAGATTAAGTGTTAATCATCAAATGTAGGCTTCTAATTACAAGTTTATTTCAAGTAGAAATGTTAAATTAGAGGATAGGTTCTGCATTTGAAAGATTATAAAAGATAATATGGATTAATGGGTGAACTTGAAGCTAAATCGGGTAGATCGGTAACATACAGTGAATTATAAAACTGGATTTCGACAGTTTTGCTGTTGCTGTGTTAAATTCATAACAAATCACAGAAAATCATAAAAATATGAGGTCAGTTTCATTAGAAAGCTTTAAGAGGATACTTTATTTAGTATTTTCAGGTCAATGGCTAAATATGGGTCTAAGTATGGTAAAACAGGGGTTGAACAGGGGGCTATACAAGAAAGTGTAAATAGGATAATCAAGATTTAAAGTGTATAACTCGAGGTTGGAATATAGTTGGTTTCTGATACTTGAAATGTTTACTCCAGGGGCTKTTTTAAGACTGTATAGAGCCTCTAAAGGTTTACTGCTATTGTTGATCGRAATTGGTTATTACAGCATTCGGTTGTTTTTATAAAGTACTGTGAGTTTATACCGAACTTATACTTATATATAGAATATGTATAAGAACTCTTACTGAAAAGTTGATGATTGCACATACGTGATTCTGTAAGGTGAATTTTTCCTAATTCTGTTTGGTATTACTTAATTCTTATATTTGTGGTTGAGTCCGGATCCGAGACTGTTTATTTGGCTTTTTGATAAACCATGATCTACGGGTATTACTTCGTGTGATAAGCCGTAACATGGTGTATGTCCACGTATCCCAAGGAGAGGGAGGCTGGGTGTGGCATACCGGTTGTTGTATTCACGTAGATTGGTAAGGAGCCGGGTGTGAATACTTTGCACGGGCCCTGTAGACGAAGGGGGTGTGGTGCATATGGTTATTCTGGTAGTGATACCTTTGGTGTTGGTTACATTTTATTGCTGTAGTTGATTTTAATTATCCTAAAAAGTCTTAATAGGCACTGTATGTTATGGATAAAAGATTTAAGTGTTTATGACTGTGATTTAATGGCCAAGTCCCCAAGTCCTTTGGGACCAGAGGCCCTCTAGACGATCAGAGCCTCTATGGTCTAGATCAGAGCCTCTGTGGTCTAGATCAGAGCCTCTGTGGTCTAGACCAAAGCTTCTGGTTATCTTGTGCTATGGATGGATGACCAGAGCCTCTGTGGTCTAGACCAGAGCCTCTAGTTGTATTGCACCCCGTACTCTGTCCTTTGGGACCAGAGGCCCGCTGCTGTGCTCTGGACTCCAAGTCCTTTGGGACCAGAGGCCCGCTGGATGACCAGAGCCTCTGTGAATTAGACCAGAGCCTCTGTGGGATAGACCAGAGCCTCTGGTTGAATAAACCAGAGCCTCTGGTTGTATTATGCTATGGGCTCCAAGTCCTTCGGGACAGAGGCCCGCTTGACGACCAGAGCCTCTGTGATTTAGACCAGAGCCTCTGGTTGTACTGTGCTCTGGGCGAGATTCTATCAGATTGAATTTGAGTTAACGGTCTAATTCATAAATAAATGATTTGTTCTGTTCAGTTTTGGCTATGACTTGTATCGTTCTTTTAATATATATATATATATATATATATATATATAATTATAAGCTTTGGTATAATCTCACTAAGCCTTGTTGCTTATTCTTTTAGAATAAACTTTCTTTTCAGGAAAGTCGGTAGCAGCCCAAGGGAAGGATAAGACAGTTTAGATCTGCTTGTAGGATTTCAGATCCTGGACATCTTTTTGGTACTYGTTGTACAATTATCGTTTTGAGTTGTATCTAGGTATATAATACTTTTGGGTAGATATAATTGTATTTATGGGTCCAACTTATCGTACCGAAAATCGTCGGTTGCAGACTATGTTATATTATTTTTGGTGAAAATCCATAATATATATATATATATATATATATATCCCGTATTTGCTTGGAGATTGTTTTATGGAAGATCTTTTGGATAAATGGTTTCTTTTTATTAAGAATTAGCGTAATCGGTGTTACAATTATGGTATCAGAGCATGGTTTAAGTGAACTAGATATCTTTAGGTGGTATCTAGACTTAAACTAGGCATTGACATCGTATAGTGATTAAGTGATGATTATACGGGATATGGACCGATAGAAAAGACCTAAGATGGATGGGGGACCTGGGATTAGAATTATAATTGATGTACTTATGTTACATTTTCAGCTCGATGTCGGATCACGACGAGGCAAGCCATACTCCACCGGACCCCAATGTCGGAGAGAATATTCCGAGTAACACTAGTAATGATGAGAATGCTCTGATATCCCCTCGTTTCGAAAGGCTCATGAAATATATGACAGATCAGCTTCAAATAGCGTTAGAACAACAACGACGTGAATTTGAGAAACGGATAACGGAAGATCATGAACGTAATAATGCTTTAAAACCTGATGACAGAGGTAAGGGTCCAATTAATGATGACGTGCCACGAACCATGATCGAACGAGTCTCATTTAAAACCTTTCGAAGCAGTGGAGGGACAGAATATACAGGACAATCAGATCCTGTACTTGCAATGCAATGGATACAGAATACTGAAAAAGTGTTTCGGATTACTCGGGTACCCGATGATGATAAAGTGAAGTACGGATCCGCGATGTTTATCGACCGAGCACTGGTGTGGTGGGATAATACGTTCGAATCCCTTGACCCAATTACCCAAGAGAATATGACGTGGAAAGAATTTCGAGCTTTATTCTTTGAGCAATACTGCACAAGGGACCTTCAGAGACACCTTGAGAAAGAATTTATGGATCTGAAGCAGGGAAATATGACTGTGATTGAGTATGAGACTGAATTTAACTGAAAGGCACGGTTTGCTCAACGGTTTATGACTTCTGACCAAGACAAGATTGACCATTTCGTCAATGGGCTACGACGAGAAATCCATGACTTCGTTGCGAACCATGATATTTCGAGTTTTGGTAAAGCTGTCGAATATGCTCGACGCCGCGAACATGATTTAACTATACCCGATGATACCGTTTCCACACCAAAACGGGAAACAACTGACAGGATCTTTTCGGCACCGTCACATAAACCATCATGACTATTTACACCAAGACAGGCGCAGACTCAGAACAATCCTCGTGCTCCTTCTCAAGCCTATACGTTACAGTCAAGCACACTGAGAGACTATCGGAGGTGCGGAAAGACACACCAAGGCCGGTGTGATACGGATAGATCTGTCATTAAGTGTTTTTGTTGCGGTGAAATGGGTCACGTTAGGAGGAATTGTCCTCAGAAAGATCTTGCATGCTTTTCTGCAGAGTGTTAGGGCATCATATGAAAGACTATCCCCGTATAAAAAGGGTTGAAAGCAAAGCCTCGGTACAACAACCAACGAGAATGGGTACTTCAACCCAAAAGGAGGAGGTGCCTAGGGCACGAGCCAGGGCTTTTCAAATCTCAGCAGAGGAGGCATTGAAGGAACCGGACGTCATAACAAGTATTTTCCTTCTCAATAAAAGACCTGCATGTATTTTATTTGACTCGGGAGCCATAAATTCTTTTGTGTCATTTGGTTATACTCAGTACCTCAATTTTGTGCCAATCATGCTTGAAAAACCTTTAAATGTTGACATGGCGAACGGAGTAACACTAGTAGCTGATAAAGTTTATAAAGACTGTAAATTAGACCTAGATGATCATGAGTTTACGGTTGATTTGATTCCAATAGATATCTATAACTTTGATGTGGTAATTGGTATGGATTGGTTGACGAAGAACCGAGCAGATATCATTTGCTCACGACGAATGATACGAATTCCGATGGAAAATGGAGAATTATTATATGTCTACGGTGAACGACGAACGATCAACCTTAAGGCAATATCTGTACTCAAGGCTAGACATTATTTATCTAAAGGATACTCGTCTTTCTTAGCATATGTCATAGATTCATCAAAGGAGATGAAGAAGAAGACTCTGGACAATGTACCCATAGTACGTGAATACCCGGACGTGTTTCCTGAAGACTTGCCTGGATTGCCACCAGATAGGCAAGTGGAGTTTAGAATCGACTTGATACCGGGTGCAGCACCGATAGCGAAGACTCCTTATCGTCTAGCGACTCCAGAAATGAAAGAAATGATGAAACAACTACAAGAGCTATTGGATAAAGATTTCATATGACCAAGCACTTCACCATGGGGTGCTCCGGTATTGTTTGTCAAGAAGAAAGACGGAACTTTGCGGATGTGCATCTGTAATAACCGGATCCTGGTTATTACGCAAGGTAATTAATGTGTGAATATTTGATTAAATGATTACGTGATAGCATGATAAATTGATACATGCTGTTATGTGAATTTATGCATTAATTGGATATATATATATATGTATATATATATATAGGTGCATGCATGTTATACATGTACATGGAGTATGAATTGTTATGGGTGTGCATGTGTGTGCATGGTTGAGTATGCATGAGGTGGAAGGGAGAAATGAAAGGCGGTTTAGCTGACCTTCATATTTTTGGAAAGTATAAAAAGAGGCTTGGCCTCTTCATTTGGCCTCTCCCTGCTATTTTGAGAGGAATTGAGAGAGATTTTCAGAAGAGTTGTCCGGATTTGCAAAAAGAGGTGATTTCAAGTTGATTGCAAATATTTGGTTTCAAAAGCTTGTTAATGTGAGTGGTTTCTAAACCTTTTTGCATAAAATTACTACTGGTTTTATTTGCATGTTTCATGTTATTATTCTTTAGAAAGAAACCTTGCATTTTGTTGTTTAAGTGTTATCCGGACAAAGACTGACCGGATAAGTATTTAAACCGGACAAGCCTTGAGCGGCTTATTGACCGGATTAGTTTTAACCGGACAAGCCTTGAGCGGCTTATTGGCCTGATATTAGTTAAACCGCATAAGCCTTGAGCGACTTCTTGTCCGGACTTGAATCCGGACAAAGATTGTTAAATTATATTTAAGTGTTGAACGGTGTAGTTAAACCTGTCAAGTCTTGGGCGGGGTATTGACTGGACTTGTATCCGGACAAAGATGATTTTTGCTTCTAAGTGTTAAACCGATCAAAGCTTATGTGATATGTTGTCCGGACTTGATATCCAGAAAAACTTGATTTTAATCTTAAGTGTTAAATCGAACGGTGCTTGATCGGATTGTTGACCGAATTGTTGACCGGTTGGTGTTGAAAATATTTTGATAGAAATTAYTATTTTATCATAAAGTGAAGTTTTGATATAAATGATTTTGGACTGATAACAATTCCAATGGCTGTGGTCTATTCAGAATTATTTTTATAAATGTTTTGATGAAGTGATAAGGGTGGCATATCAAGGAGAGGTGTCCATTTGATATAAGGGTGGTATATCAAGGAGAGGTGTCCATTTGATATAAGGGTGGCATGTCAAGGAGAGGTGTCCATTTGATATAAGGGTGGCATATCAAGGAAAGGTGTACCATGGGATAAGGGTGTCATATCAAGGAGAGGTGTACATTTGATATAAGGGTGGCATTTGTATGTGTGTGGTTTATATAACTCTTTCTATTATATCCTTTAAGACTACCGAGGTCTGGAATCTTTATTTTATTTGTGATTTAAGGATTTAGGATCAAGGTTCTTAATTGGAAATCATAGACTAGATGTTATTGAGGAGAAAAGAACAGGTTTGGTCTGAAACTTTGTTTAAACCTTGTTTGATGAGAAAAGGTTTAAAAAGTGACACTATATGGAACTCGATTGGTTTAAAGGTATGAAATTTGAATAGCTACGTGATTAGCTTGAAAAGAGGAAAATGAATTTGGTATTATGATCTTGTGTATTCATATATCTGTTATATATATATATGAACTATTGTTTTTATAAAGGTTTTGGTGATCCTTCACCCTGCAATGACATGAATAGGGTGTCTCACTAGACTTTTCAGTCTAACCCTCGTTTTTGTGATTTTAAATATGTATTGCAGGAGGCATAGAAGGTAAGGGAAAGGGAAAGATGTAATGCTTTTCTTATATGCATTATGGATGAGAAATTGCTTTTGATGCATAGTGTTGTTGATTAGTACAAGATATGTATTTTGAATTTTTGGACCTTGTATTTGGTCATGGTAGATTTTTGTACTAAGGGACCCTGTTGGGTCCGAAAAACCTAAGCGTTCCCTAGATCCGGTCAAATCCGCGAATCTTAAACCCAACGCTCCTGTAGCAATGCAGGARCATCCCACATCGGTGAGGCTAGGGAGATTCAGCTTCCTTATAAGGAAGTGAGAGTCTTACTCCTACCAGTAACGCGTTTTAAAGCCGTGAGGGGTTGTGCTGACT